GATGGTAAGCCCCGCCCACCTGTTCTGTGGTCTCGTGCAAACAAGGACCTGCCCATGCCATCGGGGGATTGGGTGGTGGAAACACGTGATGGACGTTTGCGTTTGACCAATGTGACGAGGGACATGATGGGAGCATACCGTTGCCAAACCGCTCCTTACAACGGCCTAAACATCAAACGCCGACAGGGTCAGGTGCAGCTCAATGTGGAGTGTAAGTGTTTCAGTCATCACACAAAGGTTTTCAATTGGGGAACTACTTTGAAATGATAGTTTGCCAAACTGCTAAAGCTATAAGTAGCTTGCTACATTGAAATAATTTACAAGTAAGCAGTCAATTGCATTTCCCCCCATGATCTGCATAAATAATCACATTCTCAGCCTCCTGCTTTTTATTTATGGGTTCCCCCATGAATACTGAAAATGACTGACAGACAGCACTTGAAATGGCACATTTAAGTATTTAACCTAAAATGTAGTTAAAGCCAGCAATTGAAGTTAAACTATGTATTTTCTATTATATCTATATTATTTTCTATTATAACTTGCACAATTATTACAGATGCCTTAATTTTTACCAAAATATAATTTAGATTTTTTTTGGGGCTGTTTATTTTATGTACGCTACTGTTTAAATTTGGGGGTCGGTAAGATTTTTTAAATGTTTTTGAGAGTCTCTTCTGCTCACCGGGGCTGCATTTATTTGATAAAAAATATTGTAAAAGTATTACTATTGAGAAAAACCTTTTTCTATTTGAATATATTTCAATATGTAATTTGAATAAAGTACTGTTATGGCAAAGCTGAATTTTCAGCATCATTACTCTAGTCTTCAGTGTCACATGATCCTTCAGAAATCATTCTAATATGCTGATTTGCTGCTCAAGAAACATTTCTTATTTTTATGTAAAAAAAAGAAAAGAAAGAAAGTTCTTATTATTTTTGTGGAACTGATAAATTTTTTTTTTAGGATGCTTTGAACTCAGCATGGAGATCGGGAAAAACGGAAGGCCCCCGTCGTGAAGGCTGTGATCTGGATTCAGAACATGCTCGTCTAATTATTTTTAGGACGAGCGTCCTGTTTCTAGGCTGGCCAAACAATATTTTATTTTTGGCGCGAATCACCCCCCATAATCACAAATCACACGTCATACGCGAGGGACTGTGGTGGCGAGTCCACAGTCTCCTCTGTCTCGACACTCGTCACATAGATGGAAGATAGATGAAGCGTCTGACTCTTTCTCTCTCGCGGGGGGCGCGAGAGAGAGAGCCGCGGATCTAGCGGGTGAGGACCGAGAAAAGGACGAGCCCGTCTCGGATCCCTCCGCTAAATCCACCCGCGATCCCCACGACAACAGTCTGCGCTGTGCCTCGGCAACAGCGGGACCGCTGCCAGCGGGATCGCGAGCCTGGCCGCTGTCATCAAACGCAGCCAGGCGAGAGCGGAGCGTGCGCAGCGAGAGCTCGCAGTGATGACAATCAGCTGCTCGAAAGCTGACCGTGCATGCTCTGCTCCTAAACAAACGACACACACATCGTGTGTATCCCCCGCCACCAGATATCGTGGGCAGGGAGAAACACAGCGTTTGTAATGCCGTTCGCTCGCCATAGACTTTCTCATTGTTTTATATATATATGAGTGCTTGTGCGGACAGACAACAGTAAATAGACAGACACATACACAGAGCGCTACTGAAGAGCAGAAGCTGGTTTGCGCCCGGCTGGATGCGCTTTTATGCTTTCTGGTGCTTACGTCACCCTGCTCGTGACGTCTCGCTGCTCCATTGGACGGATTTGACACGTGCTTCAGAACGCGGTCACGCAAGGGCGTTCCCAAAGCGACTCGACGCAGCTCGAGTTCCTGAAGGGGAACAGCATTTATATGAAATATAAATCTTTTGTAGCTTTATAAATGTTTAATACATTGTTTAAAACATCCTTACTTTATAAAAGTATTCATTTCTTTCGAAAGTTTGACCCCAAACTTTTGAGTGGTAGTGTATAATCACTATCAAGGTAGATAAAATCAGATTTTTTTCCCTCAAATATTCTGTATCATACTCAAAAGTATGTCCGATTGCATAAAATGGCTTGTGAACAACATTGCATGTTTACTAAGTTAGTTTGCTTGTTGTTTTGGTCTATATTGTGCCGGACATAGTCAAAATATATAGCAGTTTTAACCGTAATTAAAAGGACTTAGAGTTAAAAGGTTATCCAATGAGTTTATAGGAAGTCCCTCTCTAGCCTTTCTATAAGATCACAGAAGGATTTTATTTGTCAGTTGACCAGACCACTGGACTTATCGCACATTATTTGTCAATTGACACAGTTTGGACACATCCCAGAGCGTCTCAGAGGTAATGAAGTCTATCGTGAAATTGCCTCAGTCAATGACGTGATTAGATTAGATTTGGTGCCGCATATTCTAATGTGATTTTAATCTCGATTGTAATGCGATCCACTGACTGAGGATAGATTGAGTCTCCGAATGCACGACCGGACGAGCCAAAGAGACACGCGTTTTCCATTAAGACCCAATAGGCCATTATCAATGATTTTGATCCTGCTATTTTTAGATGCAGCATTTGGGGGCTGGCGGGTGTGTTAATGCTCTCAGAGTTTTCATAATGCATTATGATGCCCGCGTGGAGTGCGTTTTGTAAGTGTCAAACTAAAAAGCCTTGAATTCATTAGTGCTCTAGCTACGCACAACCACACAAAAGATAGACGGGCTAAACCCTGAACCACTCAGTGCGCATCAGCCCTTTTCACACGAGCCATTAGCGGAGCAAAGCACTCTATGCTCTCATAATGGATCCTGTGTTTATTGTGTTGCTTCAAAATGCACCATGTGATTACAGGACGATGCTGAATTTGAGTGTGCGTCGATCCATTCACAGGAGGAGTATCTGACCGTGAGTGTCACACAAAGAGCTTTTTGGAGCTGTGACATTGTGGCTGGGATAGCCAGGTGGTTGGTGGTTCAAGCCCCACAAGGTGCAGGCCATGAACTGAGACCATTGTGTACAAGGCATTGAACCTAAAGTTTATTCCAGGAGAACTGAGCATGCATACTATTTTTTATCAATTTGTTTTATTTCAATTAGCACATTTTTGGTATTTCTTTTTGGATCTGGTTGACCATAGACCTTATAGATATGAGCTAATTGAAAGAAAACACGCTGACAAAAAGACTGAATCCAAGATTTATAAGCAGGTTTATATATATATATTGACTGCGCGCCTCGAATAGAGATCTTTTCCAGCATACCGAATAGAAGAGAACTTGGATCTTTACCGGATTATATCATCACTGATATAAACTATTGTTTGGAGTACACAGTGCAATGAAAATCCTCGGAGAGACTGAGACCATTAAAATGGACAGAAAGGTAAATATTTATTTCTGTGCATGCTAACAAACTGTGGTCAGACTGTCAGGTTTATATATATATATATATATATATATATATATATATATATATATATATAGGCAGGCCGGTCATTTTTGACCCCGAACCCTAAATTAGGTAAAGGATTTTCAGCACAGCACAGGGTTAAACATGACATTTTGAAGAAGAAAGACTGCAAGTGTAAATGTACTTAAATGATCTTTGTTTTAATTACAGCGTGTAAAAGACTTGGATGTATGTGCCTGCTATGCTGGTAAACTCATTTTGATATCTCTTTAGATTATTTTTATTGATCATATGCTGTTTTGTTATTATATTCTGCGTGACAGGGGTTGTTTCAGTATATGTCTCTTTCCATCTCAGATAGCATTTAGGTAAACGAGTTTGTCTCAGGTGAGCGGAGCATGTCATTGCTCGGTCTGTGATCAATTATGATAAACGATGACAACAGCTACGCGATTTATACTGTTATTAAACAGCACAATCAATGAATCTGCACAGCCCGTACATTCAGAGATGAAGTATAAATGCTGTGCATGTGACTTAAACACAATATATCCCGAAACATGTAACGCAGAGCATGCTGTGAACAAATTGAAGTTCTTGGGAAGGATTTATGGCCAGAGAAATCCCAGAATGCTGTGTTGCAGCTAAATGAGTGATAGCTTCATTAAGAGCTCGTATGAATCACTCTCTCCCCCACGCATCTAGTCTATCCTCACATCCTCATTCCCTTTGTTTCTATCTTCCGTCAATATCGCTGCCATAACGGGCCCGGCTAATGCAGAGTATTACAGGATGGAGGCAGTTTAGAGCCCACCGCTGTGCTTCATCCCACGGCAGGTCTGATTTATGAGCCAGGTGGCTCTGCCTGTCTCTCTGTAGCTGAAGACAGGGGGATGCTGTCTAACACCCCGTCCTGTCTCTCTGTGTCAGGACAGACAGACAGCATCTGCCTGAAACGGAACCACATTTCACTGAGAGGCACTGAGAGGCTAGCAGGGTAAATCTCACAAAACCTGTCAAGAACGATCTCAGTGACATATTATTTAAATCATAAAGCATTTATAGTAATATTTGAATATATATATATATATATATATATATATACACATTTATTTTCAATTAATTTCATTATTAAAGGAGTAGTTCACCCAAAAATGTCAATTTTCTGAAAATTCACATTCAGGCCATCCAAGATGTAGATGAGTTTGTTTCTTAATCAGAACAGATTTGGAGAAATTTAGCATTCCATCACTTGCTCACAAATGGATCCTCTGCAGTGAATGGGTGCCGTCAGAATGAGAGTCCAAACAGCTGATCACAATAATCCACAAGTAATGTACTGTAATACATAAGCTGCGTGTTTGTAATAAACAAATATTCCATTAAAACATTTTTTACTTCAAATCATTGCTTCCGAATTAAAATGCAACTCCTCTATTCATAATATTGCTTTCTTTAGTGAAAAAGTAATCTCGTCTGAATCAGGAGAGAAATATGCACAGATTAAGCACCGTTTACAAGTGAAAACAGTCAAAACAGTGGTAAAGCAATACTGTATGTCAGTGGATTTTGATATGAGAGGACAACAGGGGATGTACTTTGTTTCTTAGCTTTTTGTTTCATGAGATGTTAACTGATGGACTAGAGTGGTGTGGATTACTTGTGGATTATTGTGATGTTTTTATTAGCTGTTTGGACTCTCATTCTGATGGCACCCATTCACTGCAGAGGATCCATTGGTGAGCAAGTAATGTACATTTTTCAAATCTGTTCCAAAGAAACAAACTCATATACATATTGGATGGAGTAAATTTTCAGCTAATTTAATTTTGGGGGGAACTATTCCTTTATGAATAATGGAAAGCAAAAAAAAATCTGCATTCACAATGCAAAAAATCCAAATGATCTTAAAAAAAATTTTTTACACAAAAATCTGTGATTTGTAGTTGCTTTGAGTAATTGTGTTCACAAAATATCAGTACCGTTATATTCTCAATTTCCCTCTTTTCTTTTAGTAACTTTTAATGGCCAATGACAGAAAACTTGTTATACTTTAACATGTATGTATACGGTATATGTTTTCTCTTGTGTCTTTATTTTGAGCTTGTTTTATCTTCGCACTCATATTTATCAGTGGGTGGCTGAAGCCTATGATGTTTTGATTACAGACACGTGTCCTCTCACATGAGACGGATGATTATAGTTTGTTTATTGGAACTGTTGTGTTGTGAAATTAAAATAGTCTGGTGTAAACTTCATTATGGGAATAGATGAGAGGAAATCACCTCTTCCTGTTGAGTTTAGATAAATGTTTTTCACAAACTGCGTTGAAATGCAACACTGATGATCACCCCATCACATCAAGGGAATTTATAATGCTATATACTGTACAGTATCATTCACGGCACCTTTTGTTATGTATTTCCCAACTTCATTTTCTTTCTGTCTTGCCTGTGTCTGTTTTTCATGCTTTCTTTACTCACCACATTTGTATGTTTTAAATGCATTCAGCATTTTTTCTTTGCCAACAAATAATCAGTAAAAGGAGATACATTTCAGAAAAGTATGAATAGTCCAACAAAATATCACATGAGCTGTTTTTTTTTTTCACTTCATCATGTATAATCAATAAGTTAATGCGTTCCATGGGATTTGAACTTATGACCCTGGCATTGCTAGCAGTGCTGCTTTTCTATTCATTTTCATTTAAGTTTACCTAACTACTTAGCAACATTTGGGACATGTCTAAGTACATTTTATTTCTGGAAATAAATTAAAGCATCAAAATAAATATACAAACTGTATACAAATTAGTTTTATAATGCAAAATGATCATGTGCAATATGTGGGATACAATCAAATACTGTGTAAATTATTTAATAATCTTTTTTTTTTTTTACTACAAATAATTGTGCCACTTATGGAGTGGTTTGGCTGGAGTACTACTTATCTCTCATGCTGTTTGTTTTCTTAGTCTTAGATCCAAAGCACAAACCAGAGAACATTGTGGGAATTTTAAATGGGTTTGATTGTGATCGTTTTGGCAGTTTTGTGTGAACACGAGTCAGTGAAATCAAATTTGACCTTGTCTGCTTCCTTAATGTTTTACCATATTTGTTGCAGATGAGAAATGAAAAATGTTTAATCTTATTTATAATTTTTCATCACCATGTGATAACTTGGTGAACCTCTAACACGACTTTCCTTTTTTTACTGACGTCAGTGTGAGGCGCCACTTAACAAGCCAAATGATTTCTTTAATCTGACATATTTTTCAAGTGAAATGAAAAAAAAAAGATTTAATCCATAAGGAATCAGTTGGATCATGGAAAATAGGGACGGTAATCGTTTTGAATGTTAGATGTCTATTTCAAAGGATTGTCTATCAAAGATATCATCCAGTACAACCAAAGAGTTTAAGTCAATCTGAAGCTAATAAGGATTTATAATTATATTGTCATTGAAAGCATTGAATTTAAGTTCATAAGTTAATTACACCCTGATGCTTTGTCACAGTCTCTGCACATTATTAGTTACAGTAATGTACTGTTGATGTATGCCTGAGGTGCTGTGATGCTAATTTGCAGTCACATCACTTCATACATGCGGAGTGTCTAACCAGACCCTGCTAGATTGTAATTAGTCACTAGCTCTAGCACACTATATAGATTGATTCCGTGCAATTAGCTGAGACAATGTGGATCCCATCTTATTGATTCAGCTAGTAGCTTGCAATCTGCCATCTGAATGTCGTCGGCATGTGCGATGGATTCATGCGTTGTGTCCTAAGTGCTTTGGTGTGGTTTATGTGGGGCTTCGTTTCCAGTAAAAATCTCAAGAGTGGTCAGTTAATTTACTGTTCTTTTCCTTAAATTGATTTTGTCCTGTTAGTGAAGAAAAAAAAATGCAGAAAATTGATAAAAAATGACTATAAATCGTAATTTTACCCAAAATATTAACTGAAAAATGTCGAAGAAACAAGGATGAATTCCAGTGTAATAGTCTTTCTTTTTCCACCAGACCCTCCTGTTGTGGATCCAGTCCTGCTGGATGTCCGTTCTCAAATGCTTTCGACAGTCAATCTCCGATGCCTGGTTCTCAAGTCCAATCCAAACCGGATAGCCAGCGCCCGCTGGTACCGTAATGGGATGCTCATCCGAACTCCACCGGTGGACCCTCAAAGTGTCCCTCAGCTCCGGTTCAAACTAGACACCACTAATAATGGCACTTACGAGTGCAGATTGAGCAATGGAGTCGGTACCTCAACCTGCACCTTCATTGTGTCTGGTGAGTTGTAAAAAACGTGTGTATGTTTTATGTGGGTATTATGTGGGAGAACTGATCTTCATGCTTTCCTGTAGCTTTGGGTCTGATAGTCTTAATATAGAAGGGTTACCAAACTTTGTCAAGAGTCAGAAGTTCTATTTTGTTTGTCTTGTTATTCCTGTTGTGCGAGCTCAAACAGTCTGGTTTATTTAATTGTATACCTGCTGCAAAAATCCAAGTCATACCAGTAGGTGGCCAGTTACTGCTTAGACGTATAAGTTTGTCATCTAACTTTTGTCTTTAAAGGGGACGTTGTATTCCCATTTTCCATAAGTTGGAATGATTCTTTATAAAATGTCTGTAACATACTTTGGTTAAAATTCTTCAATGGTCGTGTAAAACAACACCCTTTTTACCTGGTCAAAAACTTCTCTGTTCATAGCTATTCGTTTCGGTGCATGTCCCTTTAAATGATAATGCTCATTACTACTGACCCCACCCTTCTCTTCCATGGGGCGTGTCCACACAAGACACGGGAATATATCTGTATAAGGCTCGGAGGTGGTCTTACTCAAATAGCTATAGCTATCTACGTAGAAACCGGCTGAAAATTGAAACAGCTCGCTGGATGACAGAGGCCCTGTCCCAAATGGAACACTTCATGTGCACTTGTGGTCTTATGGACTTACAATGGCCGCCGCGTGCACGTGTCCGTTAAGTCCACGAGACCGTAGGGTGTCCCATTTGTCATTTTAGCATTCAGAAGGGTGCTCGCGAGCGCCTCCTTTTGCAGCCGTTATGCACCCTCGATCCGCACTTCTTCCGAGCCCGCACTGGTGCGAGCTCCGCAGCAGACTTCTACCCGACAGTCAAAGCGGCATTACGTCACGAAAGTGCGGACTCAGAGGAAGACCGCGAGGGTTTAGGGTGCCATTTGGGACAGGGACAGAGTTTCATACTCAGACAGCCCACAACAAACTGGCTGCATGTTTTCTTTTGAGCTTTTCTGAGCTTGCAGACACGCCAGAAACCTAACTTAATGCAAAACAAGCTGAAAAAGTAAAACTTTCATCCAATGTCCTGAGTTTAACAACTCAGTCACATGAAAAGGTAGACTGATCTCATTTGAATCTGAAAAGTGAGACTGATTATCCATTGGATAACTGCTAGTTTGTCAGACTAGTTTTTCATAGTCAACTAGTTTAACCCCACCAGTTTGGCCAAGTTGGTCTACTAACCCTAATCTTGTTAACCAATATGGTTTGCTAGGTCAGCCTGAGCCCAAAAGCTGCTAGACTAGAAGATCAACTATTTAGACGTGGAGTTTGATTAATTTCAACAAATTGGATCTTTCAAATAGTTTCAGTGAACCATTTCAAAAATACTATTCACATCATAATGTGGCTTATTAAGTTATAATATAAACCCTTCTTGAAACATTTATGAAATGTTGCTTCTCAGTTTAGTCATGTCCAGTTGCTGATTCATAAATGAATCATTCAGAGTTTTTGTGAACTGGTTCAACTGATTCATTGACCCAACTCAGAAGTACTAATCTTTCAGACATTACTACAACTACCTAAACCTGCTTGGACAAACTAAAGACCACAAATAACCAGCTTGGACCAACTAAACCATATGAAACCACTTTCATCAAGCTGGTTTAAATTGGATCAAACCGGATCTTCCATCTGGGATCACTAGCGTAGCCAGGAATTACAATGTGGGTGGGCCCAGAGAAAATTGGGTGGGCCTAGCCTAAAATACATCTGTTATCAAAATAGGCCAACACAACTAACAGTTACACCTGCTTGAATTTACATCACCATTTAATCAGAGCATAAGCCTGTATGTCATCATAAGCAGTGTTAAGAAAATAACAGTAAGAACAGCATGAGCACGGCATCCACACCACACACACGCGCATCTGACAGACGCAACACCACCATCATCAAATCAGCAGGACAGTAGTAATGGACAGTATGTAAAGTGCTCATATGACAACATCCACACCACTAGCATAAACTAAAACTAAACTAACTAAAATGCATTTGTTATGAAAATAGGCCAACACAACTACACCTGCTTGAAAACACCACTGTTTAATAAGAGCATACGCCTGTATGTCATCATAAGCAGTGTTAAGAACATAACGATAAGAACATTAGCACGGCGGCCACACCAAACACACACGCACGCATCTGACAGACGTCACCATTATCAAATCAGCAGGAGAGTAGTGGATAGTAAAAACAACGTTTGGACATTGCCTGGCTCAGCGGCCACATAAACCACATGAAATAAACAACAGTGACTAAGCAACTGACATTAGGAAAATGTAGATTTTTGTACCTGTACACTGGCGTGTAGGAGAGGTAGCCTTTAGAGAATGGAGCGCTGCTGGTGATGGAGAAATATGTGAATTAACGTTAGCACTAGCAGAGCTGTTCAGCTCCTTGAGCATGGATATGCGGGGACGTTTCATTCATACTCAAAGCCGGAGGGCACTCTCGCGCAGAAAGTACAAAGCAGACTCATAGAAGTAACGTGACGAGCCAGGAAAACCCTAATATGGACAAAGGCATGTATAACAGCATCCAGTGATCTCTGCTTTAACTAAGGGGCTGTTCGCAAACATATCTTCATCATTATATGGCAAACAAGATAAAGCAACAACACAATTTATTCTTATAGATAAAGTATTGTGATTATTGCAACAGAATTCACAATTATTAGGCTACCTTCTGAAGCAACTGAACCCAGGCCCACCCGTAGCTACGCGACTGTCTGGGATCACATGATTAGTTCTGCTTGTTTTCCTGGAAAATGAATAGCATTAAAATCAGAATGATCATAATTTATGTGAAAAACGTCTGTCACTCACTCCTTACGGTTGAGTTGCCAGCTTTGTTAGCTACTACGCTAGTTGATGTAGAAATCTGCCAAGAAACACCAGACGTTGATGTGGCACTATACAGTACACTTCCAAAAAGGCCCAGGTGTTTCTGTTCTCTCTGGGGGGAAAAAATGGGCTGCCCTCTTGCAGACTTGTAAGGCTTTTCCTTCTCAGTAGGGTCTTATCTTTAGCTTTGCCAACACATCATGACTGCTGAGCGGTGCTAATGCTATCAGCTAGTTCTATCGTCACACTCTAATATGACCTAGCTGCTGTGTAACATGCAGATTTGGTAATATGGTAGAAGGAATTGTGTTGCAACATTTAGCATGCAGTTGTCCTTACTCTGACTACTACGAAAGGCATTTCTGCAGAAATGTACCCCAGCTAACAAAAGTATGTTTTAAGAACATTTTGCTAACATTCCCATTAAGTTATGAAAATGTTATTTCTGAATGTTCTTCGAATGTTCCAGTTTTTCAAATGTTAAAAAATATTTTCTTTCCCCCTTGGTTATGTGAACATTAGCAAAAACATTAGGAGAATGTTTGATTTTATCATCTTCCAGATGTGATGGGAAAGTTACTTTTGAATGATCTTTGAAGCATCTGAAACAACTAATTAGTAGAGTTTCAAAAAGTTAGATGAATGTCCAACTAAAAAGTTTTAGAAAAACATTCCACAAACAATGTACTGTATAAATAATGTTTTGAAAACGTTATTAAAGACCAGATAAGTTTGAATGACAGTTCTATTAATGTTACTGGGAGAACGTTTGTTCATATTACTCTGAGAGAACCTTGCCAGAATGTTAGCCAAAGTTGTTATAATGTTCCCTGTTAGTTGGGCCAATGGTAAATAAATGACAGAATGGTTCTGTTAGCCTCTTACATTGTTGAAGGAGATCTCATATTTATTTATTATGGGTCTACACTAAAAATAATTGCAGTAATTACTGTATTTTGGTTTTCAGTAACTACTGTATGTTGGTTACCATAATAGGTTTTTGTAAGGGACATAGAAACACCAAAAACTGTAATTTCACTAAAATAAAAATTGACTTTAACACAGCATAACTGCTTACAGGTGCATGTATATTCCACGCAAATTTATAATTTATTCACTATCCGCCGCACCAGACAAAATTTGAAAAGTAATTATTTTAAACAAGTTTAAAATACACCCCGGTGTTGCAATTCCGTTTGGTGACACTAAATTAAACAGTTCTCCTTTAATGAGATGCTTGTCCTTCATTGATGCTCTAGATAATTGGTTCTCATTCAGTCATGACCCAATAATGGCTTTTTTTCTGCAATAATAAAATGCAATTAACTATGCATACCTAGAATTGCAAACACATTACACATTATAAACACACAAGAACTTTCCACATTATATTCAGTGTAGCAGCTATGTCTTGCAGCAGAACAACCACTGCTATTTCAGTTGAATATCCACCTTATTTTTAAAGTTATTATTAACAGTCCATTATGCTGCTTGATCTTGCAAACTGTTTTTTCTTGTATTATTTTAATGCATTGACATATTTATAGACACACCAGTTTGTAGTGCAAATAGTTTGACCTTTTATTGCACTTTGTTATTCTACTAGTCATTTGCCTACAGCGGCTAATGAATCGAAAACATCACACATTCACAGAAAATAGCTTACTTCCACATTGCAAATTAAGGTGGCTTAGATGGTAGTAGTTTATCTTTTTAAAGTATTTGACTAACTAGTCATGCTCTGTTTTGGTTTCTTTGTCCGTTTAGCTCAGCCGTATAATGCAGAGTTTTACTACGACACTCCAAACCCCATTCGCACCCTGAAGAACAATTATTCCTACATCTTACAGTGGACACAGAAAGAGCCCGGCGCTGTGGACAAAATCATCGGTTACTGGATCAATGTCCAACAGGTAAAGCGAACACCCACAGACACTGGATGCTTGATATTTACTGTTTTCTTTCTTTCTTTATGTTGGCTTGGTGGGAGGTGGATGAGTAGAATAAGTGTGTTTGTAATAGGAGTCAGGGGAATAGTGTGCTCTGTGTAGGGAGCAGACAGCGGATCGATCGCTGCTTGTACTGCATTAAAGAGACTCTCAGAACCCCACCGGCGCAACACAAGAACACACAAGCAGCCTGATTGGGTCTGCATTTCATCCCTCCTCTTTTAAGGAACATGGTCAAGCATGTCCACACCATCTTGTAGTCTATGTGATAAACAAAGTGCTTGGATTAAAGTGCAGTGCTACTAAAGCCTATTCTGAGGTCACGATACTTCTCTAACAGTGTCATTGATGAAGTAAATGGGCCTTTAGGGTTGACCTCGCTGGCCACATTGGATGAAAATATTGCTGTTAGAACAAATCTCAAATTGAAGTTGCATATTTATAGCATGCGCAAACCTATTGTGTTTAGTAGCTTGAGTTCTCCTCCACAGAGATGAATATGTCCTCATTGTGTCCATTGCACTCGACTTTGCCAGGTGGGATTGGATGCTCATGTATAGCTAACTTTATTTCACAGCCAAGCAGCAGAAATTCACATAGTTCCTGCCTTTTGACCTTCATCCCTGAGTCAGCAGTGTGAGGCTGCATGAATATCTGCTTTGCATTTCTGTATGTGATGTAGCGGAGCATTGTCCAAAATACAGTGTCTGGATAGTTTGCTAAAAAATTTAAATATGTCCCAGTTTCCACTGTGAGGCTCACTGACTGAAAAGGTAGTATCTTCAGTGCAGGTCCATAGCCAGCATAGACTCTGAAGACACAAGTTAACTGTTAACTAATACTTTTAAGTGAAAAGATTTGTTGAGAACATGGCTTGCTTCCTTTTAGCTTCAATATTTATAACGGTTTCTTATCTATATTTTATCTGTAGTTTTATTCTAGATATTGTTTCAGAAATGAGCTTGCATGTCTGGTCACTGCGTCGTTCTCTCAGTGCAAGCAGCTAGTTAACAGCCAGCTTAGCTGGAAAAATGTGCAAATGCATTTTCAGCCACCAAATTTTTACATGACACATACACGTGCTGTCTTTGTTTTTGCATCCACCAAGCCAAGCTTATAATGATATAACACTGTTATGATATGCACTAACTATTCTGCAAAACACAAATTTTGTTCAAAAACTTATTGAGCAGTTTATACTGTAAAAATTCTTATTCATAGTACTTTTGTGTAATTCCCCTTTAACAAGATACATTTTCATGAGAAGCATAACTTAAGACTTGTTTTCCTAGACTGTATCTCGAATATTAGGGTATTTTGTTTTACTATACTGGCAGATTTTTTTTACTTGTTTTTAACTAGTTTTTTCCTAACACAAGAACATATCTGCCAGTGGAGTAAAACAAAATACACCCATATTAAAGATATTTTCTCTGAAAACAAGCCTTAAAGGGTTAGTTCACCCAAAAATGAAAAGTCTGTCATTAATTACTCACCCTCATGTCATTCTAAACCCGTAAGACGGGTTCAACTGTAATTGTACGTATCCGTGTGACGCAGCTGACACAGAATAGCATACGCTGTTTGCGTTCAGTGGGTACTCTCCAAAATGGCACCAGGGTGACGTGGAGGAGACGAATTGTTGAACAAAGTCATTATTTTTGTTTTCTTTGCACAAAAGTATTCTCGTAGCTTCGTAAAATTATGGTTGAACCCCTGATGTCACATGGATTATTTTACCGATCTCCTTGCTATGTTTCTGGACCTTGATCATGGTAATTACATTGCTGTCTATGGGAGAGTCAGAGAGCTCTCAAAATTCATCAAAAATATCTTAATTTGTGTTCCGAAGATGAACGGAGATCTTAAGGGTTTAGAACAACATGAGGGTGAGTAATTAATGACAGAATTTAAATTTTTGGGTGAACTAACTACTGGTCGACCGATATATCGCCAAGGCCGATATAATGCCGATATTTGGCCTTTTCAAATATCGGCCGATAAGTTTTTCTGTTTGGCTGATGCGTTCGAGGCGGGACTTTTATTTTGACGGCGCAGCTGACTTTTATTTTGCTGTGTCCGTGCGAAGTGAATGCGGATAGGAGGAGAGTGCAGCTTCACTGAAGACTCGCGATCGTAAGCTCATGATTTCAAATTATGCTGCGCTTTATGCATTTGCCCACTGTCATATTCATGCAATTTTCACTGTGTGCTGTATGTAAAATGAGTGTTACCATGGCTTTGTTTGAAAAAATATGATTCCCAATGCACACAAACTTCCCAGAATACTGAGTGCCGTGTTGGTTACAGTGTTTACTTCCTTTTTAATTATTAATTTATTTTTTATTCCATTTTCAAATGATTTCAAATTTCTTGAATATTAATTAAAATAAATCAAATTATATCGGCTTTTTATCGGCCATCGGCGACCCTGCTTTCCAAGATATCGGCATCGGCTGTCAAAAAACACATATCAGTCGACCACTAGAACTAACCCTTTAATTTGTTATGCAGTGTTACTTCTCAAGTAAACCAGTTTTGTTTTTAGAATTTTTAGATATTTTAACTGGAAAACAGTAATGCTGTGTTTATTATATAGTACTTTCTTTTAGCCAAAAAGCAGCATCTCAAGTATCTTTCATGAGGAGGGGGATCCCATAATGCAATACTACAAGCTGAATGAAGAAATCTATGATTTATTGCTAAAATTAATTGAAAATAAGAAATAGTTTAATTAAATTTATAAAAAAATTGTGCGTTTTATGTATTTTTACCCTTAGCGCTGAAGCGCCCAGGGGAGGTCGCGGCAAGACCACAGAATGAAAGCTGCAGCCCGCCGAGATTTCAGCAGCCTGAATGGCAACCCCCGCTGATACGCCGTCACACCAACGCCAGCTGTTTCTCTCGAACACTCGCGGAGATTCGTCCTGAAGAAGGCTCGGCTCCGAAGCGAAAAGCTGATGTGCGTTTGCACGCGCTCTCCTTTTATACCCGCGCTGCGGGGCGGGGTGCGCGTGGCGAAACACGCACGCCAACTGTCATTGGCTTGTTTAGTTAACACTCGAAGGTGTTTGGGCTCTCGGGCGAGATCCCAATTCGTCAGTCACTGACGTAACGTAGAACGTGACTGACTGAATGGGAACATTGCGTTGTTATGCTGTAAACCAAATTCTATTGAAATCAGTCACGTCAAGTCAGCTCACTAAGAAATGGACAGAGCCAATGTTTAATCGTTTACAGGCAATGTTTTGATGAAATAAACTCCATCTTTGAAGTATTCACCAGGATTCCTGCCACGCCCTGTGTGTCCCGGTTGAAATCTGGCCACCCATTGCAACAAACAAACACCCTCCAAACGTCCCGGGACGACACCAGCAGCAGCTGCGGTGGGACGGGAGAGTGCCATGGGCGCATCAACACTCTCTCGCCACAGAAACTGTGTGCGCTTTGTGACTCTTCATCAGATTTTTTCGATTCCGACGTCCTAATCATCTATTCATAGAAACCTGGCCCAGAGGGGGGTGGCAGGAACGGAAGAGCGCTGATGAATTATGGAAGGAGGCAGGAATCAAAGTGAACGGGGAGGGGGAGATTAGCCACTTGTCTTTGTGTGCATGAATAGCTAATCTTTCCCTCTTTAAAACCTTACCTTAAGTAAGAGTCTACAGGGACCAATGAATTAACATCCTGACTGCAGCAAGCGTGCATTAACTTTTATGAGCTTGAACGTGTGTGTGTGTGTGTGTGTGTGTGGTGGAGGGGGAGCCGGTTTATGGAGGGGTTGTCAAGAAGATCCAGTGGTAAGTAAGAGTCTACAGGGACCAATGAATTAACATCCTGACTGCAGCAAGCGTGCATTAACTTTTATGAGCTTGAACGTGTGTGTGTGTGTGTGTGTGTGTGGTGGAGAGGGAGACAGATTATAGATGAGTTTCTCAGTAGACTCAGTTGAGTATATGTGCATATTTGATCATAGTAGAATAACAATGAGTGTCTGTGTGTGAGTAGTGAAATATAGTTCATTCAATTTGTGTGTGTATCTATACGGTCAATACTGTGCATTGACTGTGTATGAATGCGTCGTCGCTTTTGTGGTGGTAATGTTGATAAATGTTTTATAGATGTCGCTTTGAGAAATGTAGACAGGAGAGGGAAAGGAGGGGGGGGGTAATGAGCTGAAGAAAGCAGTGCCATTGTTTCTCACAGGCTATGTTTACATGTACAACTTTTGATTCAATCGGACTGAATTAATTTAGTTTGATGAATCTGAATGTAGTGTTTACATTAACGTTAAATAAAGTGATCGGGTTGATGTGTGCGTTTATATGTCCCAAGCTTTGACATGCGCATACTGCACAAATATAGAGCATTTCCCACTGTTTGCACATAATAACCATTCTCCTACACTGTTTCTTTATTTGTTTTAAACAGCAGAATGAATATTTATCGATTTCTGTGCCGTCCTGCTTATATTTATCACGCAGTAAAAATGCCCCACCAATGCCCAAAACCAGTCGTTTGTGGATAAGAATCCAAAACAAGGACTGATAGGATGTTGTCCTACTCCACTTCACAGACGCTGAGTGAAATGAGAGGTTTATAATAACAGAACACTAATTTATACAACACTTTATTCAACAGGAAGAACAGCTCGCGTCATATGTCATTACACTATTATTGTATCATTGCACATGTGCAGTCCTTTCAGTTTCAGGCTTCAATCCGATCCAGTGTTTACGTGCACTCTCGATCGTGTTAGAAAAGCACAGTGTTGGGGAAGCTACTCTGAAACTTTGGCTTGATAAGCTACAAGCTACTCACAAGTTAAAGTAGTTAAGCTACAGTCAAGCTACCCTTCTGAAAAAGTAGCTAGCTACACTACAAGTTATTACCAGAAAGTAGCTAACTACATTAAAACTACTTTTTTTTTACAACAACGTATATTTCAAATAACTGAATAAGCT